CCATAGAATAGAAACTACATACTTTTAAAGTACCTGTTTTTCCATAGAGTACTTGAGTTAGGCCTTGAAAGACTGCAGGTCTTCTAAAAGCTAACTAATCTCATCTGACTGTAGAACATCTGACTTCTTTTTTTTTTTTTTGGTGGAACCAGGGATTGAACTCAGGCCCTTGCACTTGCCAGGGAAGCGCTTATTCCACTGAGCCATCTCCCTGGCCCCCAAAAGACAAAAATAAATACAGAGGTTTAATTCACAGCTCCAAAGGCTGTTCATCCTCCTTCTATAGTCTTTTTTTTTTTTTTTTTTACAAAGAACAACTTTTAATACACATTAATGCTAATGATTAAAAATTAGTGCATAGTCTTATGCATTTATCCTAAAACATTTTCTGAAAGTAATTATATAAAAGACAATCCTATAAAATATGGATGGCCTTTACTACCTGGATCTTCTCTCTTTTTTGTCTTTTCAGCACTTTTGTCCATTGCCTTCTCATCATCTCCCCTGCCTTTTGGGCAACACCATTTCCCTTTTGCTTTAGATGTAAGTGAAACATGTGAAAAGCGAAACCATTCAAGCGGACACTGTTCATTGTCACACCCTGTCATCTCCCCATAAGACACTTGGTTACATAAGCAGTACGTAGGTTCATTGGGGTCTATTGTAAACTCACCAGGTGAAGCTCCTCTTTCTTGCTTGGCCTTAGAGCGTTTCTTTTTCTTGGCTGACCTAGATTTCTTTTCTTTAGGTGGCAGATCGTCACAATCTTCAATCCCATGTGTCATGGGACATAAATCATGGCTTTCACTGGCTCGCTGTCGCCGGGGTCTTCTTGAAGATCTTTCTGGTTGGGTAGAATCCATCCTTATCTGAGGCTCATTCACTTTCAGCAGGATCTTGGAGACACTGATTGCAACTCCATCTGTCTCGCTCGATTTTCTACCAATTTGAGCTTTGTGTGACAATCTGAATTTTTTCATCTCCCAATTCTTGACTATCAGTGCTCTCTGGAGATGCGGGTGTAGGCGTTTTTTCTGGTTTGAATCATCTTCTTTCTTATATTTTTCATAGACACCAATTTCCTTTAATATTTACTGCAAACTCCAACACAGATCCCGCTGGGGCCCAACGAACACCACGGCCAGGCGAGCTCCCTCCCAGCCAGCCGGCGCGGTCCACCGAGGCCCCTCCAGCGAGCAACCAGCCATTTTCAGGCCAGCGGGGGCACCTCCTTCTATAGTCTTGATTTTGAACTTCTCCATAGTGTAGCAGAGGGAAACAGGACCATGAATCTCTGTTCCCTACTGTTCTGCAAAGACTTTCTCTGCAGCCACTTCTACCTTTAATTCAATAGAAGCAGTCCCTGTCCTCTTCCCAACCTTGCTAACTAGTCTAATCTCTGGCTTCTTCAAACACTTCTTTTAATTTATTCCAAGTGACTTTGGAAGGGAGTTTTTGGCCAAAAGTGTTCTTGCATCTCAATCTTTCTTTCTTTCTTTTTTTTTTTTTAACATTTATTTATTTAGTGTGTGTGTGTGGGTGTGTGTGTGTGTGTGTGGCCAGCTCAGCCCACCAGGTGGCGGGGCTGGCCGGCATGTGGTGCTGGGGATTGAACCGCGGTCCTGTGCTTTGCCAAGCTTGTTCCAAGTAGGTGCTTTAGACCACTGAGCCATCTCGCCAGCCCCTCAATCTTTCTTTTTGTCTTTTCCTTTAGGTTACTCTAATTTCACTGCTAGAAATTTTAAGCCAGTGAGTTCCAGGGGCTTTTCCAGGTGCCCAGCAGGGCTGCCAGGCTTGTTATTCTCCGATGGTCAGCACACGCAGAGGCCAGGGTGGTGGTGGTGGGGTTCTGCAGATCTGGAGATGGGCTCTGGTGCCCATGGGCCCTCATACCATCTCTGAGGACACCAAAATGCCCAGGAAGATTCCTCATGGATCCCTGAGAATTCCCAGGTGCCGCTCAGGAGCAACCAGCTCATTCCTTGGGTCTTTACCTGGCTGCCTGCCACCGCGGGCCTCCCGCAATTCATCTGTTAGAAGGAAAACACTGTGCCAGGGTTGGTGGCACACACCTGTTATCCTAGCACTTGGGAGGCTGAGGCAAGAGGATGGCTGTATGTTTGACACCACCAGCCTGGGTTACATAGTGAGACAATGCCTCACAAAACAACCAACCAACTAAACCACAAAACAAAAAGCAACAAAGAAAGGAAAACACTTCCGAAACTGTCAGGAGAGTGACAGTTTGGGACTGGATAGATGAGGCAGACAAAGTTGGGTTTGGTTGAGTCCGTGACTGCTTGGAAAATCTGAGTCAGGAATCCCAGCATCTGGTCAGGCCCAACCTCCTTATTCTTACACCACCGGGACAACCCAGGAGTTCTGTCTGCTGCGGCGTCTCAGAGCGCCAGGCTGGCCTAAGAATGTCTCTCCATCCAGGTGAGAGCCCCGTACAAGCAGCTGCTTGCTTGGCAGCACTGGGGCTGGAGCCAGGGCCCCAGGTGGCCGGGCCAAGGTTCACCAGGAGCCACACCCGGGTGCCCGGCCTGACGCATTCACGAGGACAGCGTCGGGCACTGCGTTCCTTCCGCTCTGTGATCTCTGCCCACTGCAGCTTTCTTACAGGCTCTGCACCCCTAACCCCACAGCCATGCAGGGCCGGCACAGTGCTGCGTGGAGCCCGCCCAGGCGGGAGGGCTGACCCTGTCCGGTCCCCTGGAGCAACCACTGTGACAGCTCTGCTCCCAGCCACACAGGCAGGGTGCTGGCTCCCAGGGACCTTGACACTGCTGGAAACGCGGCCCTGGTCGCTGCTAGGCCACCTTCCAGCATGGGGGCCCTATAGAGCCTGGGTCACCTGGGCAGCACTTCCTCAGGCCACCACTACTGCCATGTCACTCCCACAGCAGGTGACCAAGGCCCAGCTCAGCCTGGTCAGGAAGGCCCCAGGGCCTCCTGCCAGCAGGGGGCAGCAGTCGCCCACAGGGGCTCCAAGGCTGGAGGCTGGGATGGAGGATGCGGAGCCTGGGTACCTTGCCCCTTCCTAGCAGAAGCCACCAGCCCACTCCAGCGGTTGTTCCTGCTGGCACTGTCCTGCGAGCACCCCACACCACGTCAGGCAGGTCCACTGTAAGGCGAAGGAGGAGGAGGATGGTCTCTGACAATGGGGACACTGTAGAAAACCATGGGACAGTCAAGCCATCCCAGCACTCGGGTGTCCAGTGTCCAGCCCATCTTACAGCTGGTCCCACAGCAGTGCAGAGCGAGGCACTCCTGTCACAGTCTTCCTCCCATGGGCGCTCAGCTCAGCCAAGTTGGTCCTTCTCTCCAGCCACACTGGCACAAAGGACACTGCTGGAAGAACTGTGGGTAGGGGGGCGTTTCTCCCAGCCCCTTAGTTGCAGTCAGGGAGACTTTTTATTCTTCCATGGGTTTGTATTACATCTGAGAGTCATCCCAGCACTCAGCAGGCTGAGGCAGGAGGATCCTGGGGCCAAGAGTTCAAAGCCAGCCTGGGCTACAAAGTAAGACCTTGTCTCAAAAAAAAAAAAAAGAAAAAGAAAAAGAAAAGAAGAACAGAAAAACCCACCAACTCAAACCAAACAAACCGCCATTAATGTATTTATGTGCATCTTGTCCTCGTGTTCAGTTTACCTTCTGCTGTGCAAACAGAGCTAAGTAGTAAGGTTCCGGCTGCAGGGGGAGGTAGCGGGGGTAGGGATGAGTGGGTGGGGAATTGGGGCAAGCACTGTGCCGATCCACCACAAGCAAAACCCACGGACACTGGACACCCAAAGGATGTCAGCCTATTAACCATTTAACTACGCAAGCCCTTCTTTAATCTGACAGTTGTCCCCACAACATCCCAACACCCCGATTCCAGGACTGCAGAATCCCCCTGGGGATTGGGGACTGGTTTGAGCTCAGAGAGGCAGGGGAACCCAAGCTGCAAGCTCATCTCAGATTCTGAGGGGTGCAGAGTGGTTCCCCACCATAGATTTAAAAGTCACCTTCAGGCTGGGGACATGGCTCAGTAGAAAAAGTGCTTGCCTGGCAAGTGCAAGGTCCTGAGTTCAATCCCCAGTACCACCAAAAAAAAAAAATAAATAAAAATAAAAAAGCCATTCTCATGACCCATCTCCTCAGCTGATGTGGACAGGGTCTCCCTGAGGATTTAGAGGTAGCCCTCGCTTTCCTGGGTCAATGCTGCCCCTGCTCTGGTTTGTTTTGCACCCTCCCAGGTGATGGTTGGTCGTGCAGTCTGTGGATGTGGCTTTGTTTTGTGCCCCTCTGGAAGGACTGTCAGGTCAGGGCTAACCAAGCAGGCAGAGCTACAAATGTCCCAGCCTGAGGCTCAGCGGTATAACCTTGAAGTAAAACACTGGGGCCGAATTACAGCCAAGGGAGCTTGGGGGAGGAAAGAATGATGCTGTACTTTCCTTCCTCTGCCAAAATCCTTCAGACCATTCAGAGGGCTTCTGGGAATTGCTGTTTCTGTTGCCTCTGGATTATGGGTATGCGGAGATGGCCCCGCCCCTTTACCACCTATAAATGAGAAACTCAGGCCTGGCGTGGTGGTGCATGCCTGCAATCCCAGCACTCAGGAGGCTGAGGCAGGAGGATAATGGCAAATTTGAAGCTGGCCTGGGCTACATAGTTTGAGACCAGCCTGAACTGCATAGGGAGACCCTGTCTCGAAACACAAACAAATAAGTCATTCTCAGGTTTGGCTTTGTGAAAGGTCTATGACTGTTTGTGGTCCTTCCTTTAAGGTGTCTCATGTACCAAGTGTTCTTTAACTTCACTGTGACTGGAAATGTCATCAGGAAAGATGGGAAAAAAATGAATGAAGCCCTAAAGAGACACCTTTGAATGCTGAACTGGAGGGCCCGGTCTTTGGCCCACTGGACTTCAGTTATTATTTATTTATTTATTGTATTAAGTACAGGGTCTCACTATGTAGCTCAGACTCATAGTGATCCTCGTGCTTTCAGCCTCCCAAGCACTGGGATTACAGGTTCGTGCCACCACCCCCAGTCTCAATCGCCGGCTCAGCACACCCCAGGGGCGGGGCCGGCACGGCACACCAGGGATCGAACCCCCTTCCCTATGTCTGCTTGCAGGTGCTTTAGTCCACTGAGCTACCTGGCTGGACCTCACTAGACTTCAGTTAGTGCAAGAGCCTCTCCTCCCGTGCTAGCTGAGCCCTGCTGAAAGGACAAGGGAACCGTTTTTAGCTAATGGTCTTTCTGTTGCCCAAGAAACTGCTGCCTGTCACCTTGCTGGCCAAATTCTTCAGCTTTAGGGACGGGGGCTCCTGGGGTTCCAGCCAGGGCACCTGGTACATGCGATATCGCTCCCCTCTCTGGAGCCAACCTGGGAGGGTCGTACCCCATGATTCTTTCTAGTCAGCGGTCCAGGCGTCGGGACTATTGTTTTTTTTTTTTTTTTTATAATATCACTAATCTTTTTTTTTTAATTTTATTTATTTATTTGTGTGTGTGTGTGTGTGTGTGTGTGGCCAGCTCAGCCCACCAGGGGGCGGGGCTGGCTGGCATGTGGTGCTGGGGATTGAACCGCAGTCCCTGTGATTTGCTAAACTTGTTTTAAGTAGGTGCTTTAGACCACTGAGCCATCTCACCAGCCCCGCGTCAGGACTATTGTGCCTGAGACAGCATGCCTGCCTGGCCTCACACTCCCGAAAACAGAACCTGTCCCTGGGCGCTTCTGGGAGCCGCTGGGAGACCTAAACCTGTCACTAAGATGAAGAAGACTGCTTTGTCAGGTAGGTGACACTGGGCCATTAATTATCTTGGTCATTGTGGCCTCTCTTATACAGCCCTTGATGGCAGAACCCCTCTCCTTCTTATCCAGGGACACAGCAAGGCGGCTCACAGGCTATGGGTCCCCTCCCGCACCCAGCACTCAGGACTCCCGGTGGGTGCCCCCTCCGGGGACACAGCTAGAGCCAGTCACATGAGCTCGCTGAGAGGACAGAAGGGCAAAGTGCTGGGGGAGTTTTCCGCTTTGGAGACCAGGCTGTTGTTCAGGTCACTGTCCTGTTATCCAAGAGGCAAAGCTTCTGCAGGGAGAATGAATGTTCATGGCCGGGGGCCAGTAAAGCTTTATACAAGTGGGCACTGGAGCTGGGTGTCGTGCCTCGTGTCTGCAATCCCTGCATTCCGAGAGGCTGAGGCAGGGAGAGTGTAGGTTTGAGCTCAGCCTGGAAATCTTAGTGAGACCCTCACAAAGTGAAAAGGAGGGCCTGCAGCATAGCTCAGCAGACTTAAGAGCTCGCTTAGGTAAGGGTTCAATCCCTGGCATCCTAGGCCTGGCTGGCCCCGCCCCTGGGTGCACTGAGCCGGCAATGGAGTCCAGGCATGGTGGCACACACCTGTAATCGAAGCACTAGGAGGGCAGAAAACAGGAGGATCGCTATGAGTCTGAGCTGCGTAGTGAGACCCTGCACACACACACAAAATAAAATAAAAAGGGCTGGGTATGTAGATCAGTGTGAGGCCCCTGTATTCAACCCCCAATACCAAAGAACCCAAAACCAGACCCGACCCCCCCCCCCCCAACCAGGCGTAGAGTTTGGCTAGAGAGCTGAAGTTCGCTGATTTTTGGCCAGGACCACGCTTCCCCAACTCCAGGAGCCATTTGAATAGGCAGCCACTAGGTGGCAGCAGGGAGCCGGCTCCCAGGTCCCAGCACCGCAACGGGCGCAGCCCAGCAAGGTCGGCCCACCCCTCGAGATAAACGGCTGTGATTCAACACCTGTGCTCCCTGCAGGACGCTTCACAGCAGGCCAAAGGTGGAAACTAGACTGCCCACAGGTGGAGGGAACAGAAATGGGCTCGTCCACAGTCTGGAACACAATGCAGTCAGGAAAAGGAAGTCCTGGCACTGCGACAGCCTTGAGGGAGCTGAGCCAAACACAGAAGGTCACACACCACAGGGTCCCACTCAAAGGTGGCAGCATGGTCAGAGCCACAGTGACAGATGGAGGGCAGCGGTGCTGGGCTGCGGAGGCGATGGGAGTCAGCATTTCCTGGGGGAGATGAGCAAAGTCTGGAGGCGGATGAGGGCCATGGCTGGATTTTTCCTTGCCAAATTCATTTGCTAAAACCCCAGCCCCTGGGTGATGGCATGGGAGGTGGGGGCTTGGGAGATTTTTCTGTGTGTGTATGATACTGGGGGTTGAGTCTGGGGCCTTTGCACTGGGTTGCATCGCCAGGCCTTTTTAAATTTTATTTTATTTTTGAGACAGGATTTCACTATGCGGTTCAGTCTGGCCTTGAATTTACTTTGTAGCCCAGGTTGGCCATGAACTCACAGGGATCCTCCTGCCTCAGCCTCCCAAGTGCTTTAATTTAGTTAGTTAATTACTTAATTTGAGAAGGGGCCTGGTTAACTTGTTAAGTTGCCCAGGCGGAGCTCTAACTTGTGAGTGATTGATCCTACTTCCTCAGCTTTCCAAGTAGCTGGGATGCCAGGCATGCAGCGCCTTTGAGGGAATTGGAGAGCTGTGAGAGGTGCCTCCTGGCACCATGTCGGTGTCATGGGTCCATCCCTCCCTCCAAGTCGGCACCAGCAGGTGGCGTCTACAGCATAGAAGCTGGTGTTCTTTGTGGGGTTCCTCGAGGCTCCAGAAGTGGTAACTGAATGTTCATTGTTTCATCGCCAACAGAGATGCTGGAGGAGGCCCTTGGGCAGCGCCAAGGATGTGCTTAAGGCCACTGACCTGGGCCCTCAAAACTGTCAAAGATGGCCTGTTTCAGTGTACATCTATCTTGCCACAGCAACAATAAATGGGTGTTGGGCACAGTGGCACCTGCTTGTGAGCTCAGCACTCAGGGAGGCTGAAGCAGCAGGACTGCAAGCTAGCAGTCTTTGTGCTGAGCTATATTCCCAGCTTCTTTTTTATGTTTTTTTTTTTTAGGACCTTGGCTAAGTGGCCAGAGATGGCTATAGAGTGCAGGCTGTCCTTGAACTCCCAGCGATCCTCCTGCCTCAGCCTCCTTGTGCTGGGATGATAGGTGTGTGCTACTGCACCTGGCTTCAGTTGTGAACAGTGACCCAGGAATGTACACACTGGCTCGTGACCAGGACTGGTTTGTACATGGTGGTTCCCTGCAGTAATGTCCAGGTCGTGACAATGCTGGTTGCTGCAGGATGAAATGTGGTGGAAGGTGGCCCAGCCTGCTGGAAAGGTCCTGCTGGGCAGAAGGCCTGGTGGTCACACTGTGTAGAGATCAGGGGCAGGGAAGGGGGCAGAAAGGAGTGGGACCCAGGAGACTGTATTTGCTCACTCTGTGTTGGTCTAATTAAATGCCTGAGACTGGATCATCTTATAGAGCAAAGAAGGTTAGTGGACATCTGTCATCCCAGCTTCTTAGGGGGCTGAGGCAGGAGAATCTCAAGAATGAAAATGGTCCCTGGCAAGCGCAAGGGCCTGAGTTCAATCCCTCGTTCCGCCAAAAAAAAGAAAAAAAGAAAAAGAAAAGAATGAAAAAGGTGCAAACTTAATCTTCCGATGGTGTTTAGAGGTGGGGAGTAATTAGGGATTAGATAAGATCATCAAGAGGAGCCCACATAGTTGAATTATGGTGGCTTCATGGGAAGAGAGACCGAGGGCTGGATGTAGTAGCACACGTCTGTCTTCCTGGCACTTTGGAGACTGAAGCAGGAGAGTCACAGTTCAAGCCTAGCTTGGACAGCTGAGTGACTCAGGAAAGCTCTGTCTCAAAATAAAGTAATTTTTTAAAAAACATGATGGAGGACTGGGGACATAGCTCAGCGTTCTAAGTGCCTGCCTGGCAAGGACCCGGGTTTAATCACTGATACCACATGCCATTTCGGCCCTGGAGCCCTGGGTATGGTGGTGCACGCCTGTAATCCCAGGGCCGGGGAGGCTGAGACAGGAGGATCATTACGAGTCCGGGCTGCATAGCAAAACCCTGTATCAAAAGAATAAAAATCAAATAAAATAAATCTTAAAAAAAAAAAAAAACAACAAACAACCCATGATGATCCTAAATGCACAGCATGCAAACCAAAGTGGGACCTGCCTGGTGACGGCCTGGGTTCAAGGGCATCCTGGAACAGGGTATGGCATGGGTGACTGTCATGGTTTGCGTAAGCAGTCATCCCCCAAAATTCATGTCCGGAAATTCTGTGCCATGGTGCCCAGAGGCGGGCTGGAGAGGTGGCCAGGTCACGGAGTGCTGACCTCTGTGGTGTCATGACAACAGGAGCTGGGCCCAGCTGCAGTTCCGGTCCTCGGTTCCTTCCCGTCCAGCTGCTGCTGTCTCTCTGTCTCCGGTCACCATGAGGTGTGCAGTTTTTGCTGCTTCTGCCTCGGAGCTGGCTGCCGTGGCCCGAATCCCCAGGAGCCATGAGCCACATTAAATCGTCCCTCCTCTAGTTCTGTGGGTCTCCTATTTTGTCACTAAGAGCAGTGCATCTGTCCCCTCTATGGTATGTACTGTGTCACCATGGGAGGACCTCCTTAGGAACGCAGGCCCGGCAGAGGTGCCCACCAGCACAGACCAGCCAGGCGTTCACAGCTCTGCCATGACTCACTTGGGGACACCCGGAGTGACCCTCTCATCTTCCCTGGCTTCAGCGCCCAGAAAGATGAGCAGGAGTGCTTGGGTGTCTGTTCAGGCAGCCCCCGATGACTTCAGTCAGGCCAGGTGTGGCAGGCGGGCTGCTCCAAGTGGGCGTGGAATATTCTAGAACCCAGGGCCCTGGCTAGATGGGGTCAGAAATGCTGGCTGGGGCCAGGCTGAGGATTCTTAGGCCATGGACTTAGTGGCTTGTATTTTAGAAGCCTGCTGCACCCCACCTGTGGACACATGGGGCCCTGCCATAGGGTGACACAGATGGCACAGCACAAGGCCCCTGATAATGGGTGTGCGCATTGTACCCGTCACACATACGCACAACTCGGGGAGGAGGACCACGGTGGCCGTTAGTGCCACTGGCAACAGAAAGAGCTGTCAGGCTCTCACAGGCGGCAGGCAGGGCTCCCTAGTGACCAGTGTGGTTGCCTTTGGGGGGCGCAGATGAAGCAGCGGGCAAATCACCCCGGCCAAGCAACAGGGCAGCCACCTGCCTTTGGGGGTGACCTGGGGTTTCACTGTGTAGCCCAGGCTGGCCTTCAACTCACGGTGAGTGACCTGCCTCAGCCTCCCCTCTCTGATTACAGGCATGCACTGCCACACCTGGCTGCTCACCTGCTTCTTGTAGGGTAAGGGTGACACTGTACGCCGTCAGCCCTGGCCAGGGGCCAGGAACAGGTGCAGCAGCCAGCTGGGCCCGGCCAAGTGCTCTGCGGCCGCGTTCCTGACCGTACATGGGCAACGGGCGGCAGCTGCTATTAATAACGGTGACATGTCCGCCCCTGGGCACTGGGTGACACTTCTATAAAGCCAGGCCCGCCAGCCCTGGGTGGCTCCTTCAGCCCCTGAGACCTTTAACCCCCCTGTTGTGAGACAAAAAGAAAAGTAAGTACCCAAACCATCTCCCCCCTCGCCCCTCCGCCCGGCCCCACGCGGAATGTCGGCCCCTTGGTGGCCGCCTTGAAGTCACACAGCAGACAGTGTGGACATGAGACGCCTGTTCACAGGGCGAGAGAAACACAGGTCCTCGGTGGCACCAGTTGTCCCCAGCAATTGACTTGGTGGCCTTCAGGACAGTGCAGGGCCGCCCAGACTGGGGAAGATAGTGGGAAGCGGAGGAGAAAGAGGCTGAGGCAGGACAGTCTGAGACCTGGACCTGCCCCCCAGCTCTCCTTATTCTAGGGGATAGAGCCAGAGACCCCGGCCCAGGCCAGGAGACCCTGAGAATGCATGTGTGTCTTGCTGGGGGGAGGGCAAATGACCAGGATCGAAATGGGGTTCCTCCCATCTTCCTGCCCCATCCCAACCCCATGAGATTTTATATTTTGAAGGCTCTTTTGCTTTTCTTTCTTGATGGTTCTGGAGATTGAACCCAGGACCCTCACACTGAACTGCATCCCCAGCCCTTTTCATTTTTTATAGGGTGACCCTAAGTTACCCGGGTAGGTTTCAACTTGAGATCCTCCTGCCTCAGTCTCCCAGAATGCTGGACTGAAGGGCATGCGCCACCACGCCCAGCTTGAAGGCACTTTGGGGGGAGCACCCTGGGTACAGATGGACCCCAGACACCCTTTCTAAGAGTTGCCAACCCTGCACTCCCTGTCTCCCTACCTCGAGGACGGCAGAGCCCCTGTCTTCTCTGACGCCCAGTTTTGCCCAAGCCTGCTTGAAGTGCGTTGGGAGCTGGGGGAGCTGAGGCTGCTTATGGGATCCCTCAGCCTGCTGAAAGTGCCAGGCAGATTTGGGGGGACTCCCGGGCTGTGGCAGAAAGCATGGGGCATCTGTTGAAGCTGTCAGCTTTTCTCTGTCCCTGTCTGCTCCTCCCCCTGGCTCTGGCTGTTCCCGAGTCAGCCCGACAGCCCCCCTTAATGGCCCGAGTGGAGTGGCCCTTGGAGGTGACTGTGTTGGTCCTGGTGGGGCCCTGGGGTGGGGGTGGCTGAGTAATTGCTGATTAAGGGGCCAGCTGAGTGCTACTTGATGTGAGTGACAGGTGTAGCCTCTGTCCCCACTCCTGGTCTCTGTCCTCTGCTGACGAGGTGGGTGGGTTCCCGTGCTTCTCCTGCGGGGCTGTTAGGATTTGGGGGAAGGCCTGAGTTCTGCTGGGGTGACCATCCAGGGGCTGGGCGACTGGGTGGGGTAGCCTTGGGACAGGGAACAGTTGTCCTGAATGAGAGGCCATTGGGGTGCCCATGTGTCCTTCCAGGGAGCGCTTGGGTGAGGTGAGAGTCCTGGCAGGAGGTGGAACACAGGTCAGGAGGCTCCTTCCAGCCTGGCTGCTCTCAGCCCCAGGGGTCCTGGGTCAACTCTCTAGGAGCCCCAGGCCCAGGCCTCTGCTCCTGGGTGCCCCTCCCCCACCTCCTGGGGAACACAGAAGATTGCCTCTGTGCTTCCTGGCCGGGCAGGCGGCCTTTGTCCTCCTAGGCTGGGTTCCCTGTGACAGTGGGGCCCTACAGGACAGAGGAGGGGGCCTTTAGCCAGAGGAACCTGCGACACAGCTAGGCTTGCCCCACCAAGGTCTGGGAGCTGGGAACACCTTGGCCCCCGAGGAGGCTTCCAGGGTGGCATGGTGCTGGGCTGTCAGCCCCTGTCTGGGTCCTGGGGGCACGAGATGTCCTATGCTGGGCCCCTCCAAGGGGCAGGAGACATCTGCTGTCACTAGAGCAGGCTCTCCTGGGCATTCTGGGGTCGGGTGTGCTAGGGGGCAGCCAGACCCTGCAGGGGTTGAGCAGCGTCCCCACCTTTGCACACTCCACACCAGGAGCTCCACGGCCATTTCAACCAAAAAGGTTCTCACACGTCCATAGCCCAGGTTCCTCCGGGGCAGGGATGGATGAGAATAACCTTATCTGAGATTGGGCTTGGCCTTGAAAATCTCAGGAAGGGAAGTGATAACTGCTGGGCACCCCCTGAAAAGATCTGATGTGTGAACAAGCATTTCCCAGGGTCAGAGTTTCTTTGGATGTTGTTATTGCTATTAATGTTATTGTTATTAATTTTTTTTGAGACAAGGTCTCAACAGGTAGCCCAAGCTAGCTTTGAATTTGCAGTGATCCTCCTGCCTCAGCCTCCCTAATGCCGGGATTATAGGCATCATATCTAGCAGGTCACTCTATTTCTAGGCTTCTCTATTTTTCAACAATTTATTTGTAATTTTATTTATTTATTTTTTTTTTCAGGGAAGCTTTTGAACAGGGTCTCACTATGTAGTTTGGACTGGGCTTGAACTCACTATGTAGCCCAGGCTGACCTTGAACTTGTGGCGATCCTCCTGCTTCAGACTTCTGAGTACTGGGATTACAGGCATGTGCTACCATGCCTAGCTTTTAAACACATTTTTGAAAAATACACCTAAAATTAAAATTGACCGTTTTAGCTGAGTGTGGTAGCATACACCTGTAATCGCAGGACTTGAGAGGTTAAGGCAGGAGAAGCGTTGCAAGTTCGAGACCAGCCTGGGTTACAAAATGAGTTCAAGGCCAGGCTGCACTACATAGAGAGACCCTGTCTCAAAAAAAAAAAAAAAAAAAGACACACACACAAATTGATCATTTTAACCATGTCTACACGCACAGCTGTGCGCTGGCCGCACCATCCACCTCCAGGGCTTCCCACCTCCCCAAGCTGATCCTGTCCCCAGGAAACGCTGATCCCAGTCCCCACCCAGCCCGGCACTGCCATCCTCCTCCTGTCGATGCTGGGCTGTCCTGGGAGTGGGACCCTGCGGTGCGTGACCCTCTGTGTGTGGCTCAGCTCCCTGAGCTGCGTGACCTCGAGGTGCATCCGTGCTGTGGCAGATGCCAGGATTTCCTTTTTTCTCTTTTCTGTTCTGGTGCTATGGATGGGACCCACGGGCACAAGCCTATTGAACTACATCCCTTGACCTCTATATTTTTATCCAGAGACAGGATCTTCCTAGACTGCACAAGCTGGTCAAGCTTGAGACCCTCCTACTTGTGCTTCCCAAGAATGCTGGGATTACAGTTGTGTGCCAGTCATTCCTTTTTTTTCCAAATAATAAAGCCCAAGATGTCTGACTGGCCAAGCAGTTCTCTGGCTGCCTAGAGCCACCTCTCCCGTGTCCCTGTCCCATCCTCTACTATTTTTGGTCACAGTGACAGGCATATCATCCTGCCACTCTACGTGCCTGCGGTAAAGGCCACCGCTTGGCAAGGCTCCCGACCTCCCCCTCCCGGCTCCTGCCTTTCCTCTGGGGGCAGGGGCCTCAGGTGTCACCTGTCCCCAAGGCTGCATCAGTCCCTTGAGGCCCTCAATGGATCAACACACATTTTCTACAGAGGGGCAGATGGTAAATATTTCTGGCTTTGCAGAACAGTCTGTAGCAGCTCGGCGCGGCTGTTAATAACGCAGAACAGCCGCAAGTGGGCGTGGCTGTGTGCCAATAAAACTTTATTTATAGATGCTGAAACTTGCATTCCATATAATTTGCCTGTGTGGAAAAATTTAGTTCTTGTCTTCTTTTTTCCTTTCCCTCAGCCATTTAAAACTGTAAAGCCAAGTGGTTGGAGGGCACACCTCAATTATATAACATTTGCCTACCATGTGTGAGGCCCTGGCTCCAACCCCAGCACTGCAAAAGAATCAACAAATAAATAGTAAAAATACGGAATGGCTGTTAGCTCTTGGGTTACACAAGTACACAGGTTGTAGCTAGCTGACCTGCTTGTGGTTAAACATCTCAGGATTTCAGCTACCCAAAGCCAGCTACAGCCTGAAATAATTAAATGGAAATTTCCTCCAAAAAATGATTCCTAAGTTATAAATAACTTTCATTGTAGAATACCATTATTATTACCTTATTTTATAATTAAGGTATTCTTCACTTGGTTGTACTGGAGATTGACCCAGGGCCTTCACACTAAGATGCAGCTCCAACCTTTTTTATTTTTGACATTTTTGACACCGGGTCTTGCTAAGTTGCTAAGTGTCCCAGGCGGGGCTTGAACCTGTCTCAGCCTCTGCTGTAGCTCGGATGGCCTCTGTGTGCCACCACACCCGGCTCAAAGCTTTGGGGCCTATTCCTAGGAGTGAAATTACCCTTTGTATAGGAAGGGGCTCTTTCTGTTCTTCACACGCCCATGATTTCCCAGGGTCCGCTACGGTGTCCCACCCCATCTGGTCTGTAGGGCTTCCCCTGCCCTCCTAGACTGAAGGGGGTGGAGGTGGTGATTCTGCAGGTGGCCTTGGGGTGTTACCCTCTGATCAAGGGGTGCCCTATCCAGCTACCCTAATGCTGGATCCACCACTTTCCAGTTCACTTTGGACACAAACAATACCTGGGTGCTGGGGATAAGGCTGCACAGCACAGTGCCTGCTTGGTAAGTGAGAGGCGCTGAGTTCGATTCCCAGTAGCAAACAAACAAAACAAAACAACAAATATGCTTGTCATTCCAGTACTCTGTGAGGCTGAGGCAGGAGGATCCCAAGTTCAAGCCCAATGTGGGTAATTTAACAGCATTCTGCCTTGAAATAAAAAATAAGAAGGCCTGGTGTGTAATTCAGTGAGATGCCCTAGGTTTCATCCTCAGTATGGGCGGTGGGGTGGGGGTAGGGAGAATGGAATCTGGGAAACCCAGGTTCAAACCACCCAGATTCACCAAACTAATCTGAGTCTAAGTTTCCCATTGTGTGAAATGGGCAGGAACATTAAGTGCTACCCTGAGAGTGTGGGAGGGGTCTCCCAGAGATGCGAATTCCTTGGGAGAGGGGGTAAGCTCAGTTCCTGTACAGAAGTGTGTCCTCTATGGGTTGTCTGGTATTGTTTGCTTTGAGAGAGGGTTTCACCCTGTAGTTCAAGCTGGCCTTGAACTCACGGCAATCCTCCGGCCTCAGCCTCCCAAGTGCTGGGTTACAGGTGTGCAGCACCACACCCAATTTTTTATGGGTATTTGGGTTCAAGGAAGATTCTGGAAAATCCTATTAAATGAGCATCAGCGTTAGTCACAGAGGACAATGACAGGGTGGGAGGGATAGGGCTCAGCCCAGGGAAGGGATAGCATCAGGCCTGGCTCTGAGGCCTTGGCTGCTGGCTGAAACCTTGCAGGGAACTTGCCATTTGTGGAAACTGAGGCCCAGAGAATCCCACGCAGGGATCCAAATAGGCTGAGACTACACGAGCAGGCCTCTTGGTGTCACCCTGAGGCCACCAGAGACCCAGTGAAGAGACAGGAGGGTCCTCTTGGTGCCCCAAACAGAACATGCCAGACATCAAGGATTATAAAAACAAGACTGAGTTTATTCTTGAAGCCACAGCAAGGTCGCAAAGGCATCTGGGATCCCAGAACCCCGTGACAGTGCATACACTCTTGGCAAAGACGTCCCTATAGGGGACACAGCCACACAGTGGCCGGCCACTTGCCCAGGACCGGGCGTCCTGGGGCTGGAATCCCACCGGGTCCCTGTGGCCCAGCAGAGCAGGTGGGCGGGTGGCAGTGCTAGCGGTGGTTGAGCAGCGAATTCTGAATGTCCCCCAGCACCTGCAGGAAGAGCTCCTCACGGGGTCGCATGCCGTCCAGATGCACTGAAGTCAGAGAGGCTGTGGTCAGCTCTGTGCCTGGGCCTGGGGCAGGGCAGTGTGCTGGGCACAGAGGCAGCCGCCTTGCACCGGGCTGCGGCACAGGGCAGTGTTGGAGACCGACAAGAGAGACTGCAGGTACAGTCAAGCACGGTGTACGTGCCTGCGATCCCAGCATTCGGGAGACTGAGGCAGGAGGATCGCCATGAGTTCGAGACCAGCCTGGGCTACATAGACTGTCTTAGAAACAATGAGGCTGCAGGTGAGACTCAAGGAGGGATTTCAGATCATCCCCCGTGGATCTTGGGGGAAACGGTAACTCCCAACCTGCTAGGTGGGAGAAAACGCCAAGCTCGTGTTCTCCAAAACGGAAGAATGGATTTTAAGGAATAACAAGTGGGAAAATTTCTTGAGACAGCTCCTGAAAGACAGGAGGGGACCCCAAAGTGGGTCATCACAGACAGAGCCCACTTTCCTGAGTCTTTTGGGGGCAAAATCACAAGGTGGGTACAATGTTGCCATCTATAATCAACCGGTAAGATGACAAATACAGCTGCTTAGTTAATATTGATTCAATAGTGAAGAGAGGCATGTAGCGAGGGCAACAGCCTATACTTAGCCTTGCCCTTATTTTATTTTATTTTCAGGCTGGCCTTGAGCTCACTTTGTTGCCCAGACTGGCCTCGAACTCATGTTGATCCTCCTGCCTCAGCCTCCTGAGTGCTGAGATGACAAGACGCATGCAACACCGTGCCTGGCTCTTGTCTTGTTTATATAGTCTTAGATTTAGTAACCTCATCCTTAGTCTCGGTGGATGAGAGCAAACGGCTCACCCCCAGGAAGACACAGTTTGCTCCTTTCTAAAAAATGCATTTAGTACAGGCTCTACAGGGTCTCACTACGGAGATCGGACTTGTAGTGATTCTTCTGTTTTCAGCCTCCCAAGTGCTGGGATTACCGGCGCGTGCCACTACGCCCAGCCTCAATCACAGTCTTGGTGCACCCCTGCGGGGGGGGGGGGGCACGGGGGGGGGGGGGGGGGCGGCCCGAGGGGGTGGGGGGGGGGCTGGCACAGCATGCCGGGGATTGGACCCCAGCCACCGTGCTCTGCCTAAGCAGGTGCTTTAGTCTGCTGAGCTATCTGGCCAGCCCAGCAGCTTACTCCTTCAGGAAATCCCAAAAGCGTGGCTCAGGTAATCTCACTTCCAGTTCTCTCAAGGAAGGGCAGAAATCTGGCCACATGACTTAATCCTCCTCCAAGCACCTGCAGCCATGTGGTGATGCCTTCTCACCTTCTGCACTGGTCCCTTCCAGGGCCCAGTTCGGTCTGCCTAGAACATTTCCACCCGACCCAGCTGTTTCTGGCACCCTGGGGACACAGGGAGTTGGGACGGCGGGGGCAGGGGTGGGACCTCACCCACTTCCACGCCACAGGCCTCCATCTCTCGCTTATACTTCTGGTACATGGGCCACACGTGGCCATCGAACAGCCCGGGGGGGTCAGGGACCGGGTAGCTGCGGGTGCTGCCGAGGGAGACACATGGACGAGAATGGCTGCCAGCCGTGGCCCCAAGGGTAGGGCTCCCACCAGGGCACAGCCAGGGAGCACGCTCGGGAGACGGGGGCCCCAGGAGTCCAATGTCCCCTGCTGAAGCTCACCTTCTCCGCCACTTGCACTCCTCGTAAGGGATGGTCAGGAAGTAACGGCGGCTGTACAGGTCCAGCAGAGGCCTGGGAGGGGAAGGTGACAGGGTTGGCACCCGAGACTTTCTGAGTGTCCTGAGCCAGATCATGGTAGGTGGGGTGGGGGGGTGGGGGGGTGGGGTGGGCAGACCTCTGAGAATAGAGTCAACTTGCGCCTCTATCTTTTTGTTTTCTTCTTGCGGTACTGTGGATGGAACCCAGGGCCTTTGCAATGAGCTCCATCCCTAGCCCTTTTTATTTTTTATTTTGAGACAGGGTCTCACTAAGTCACAAAGTTGCCTGGGGTAGCGGGGGTTGGAACCTGGGATCTTCCTGCCTCAGCCTCCCAGAGTGTGACAGGTTTGTGCCCCAACACCCTGCTGGGTTCCTCTAATTCAGACAGGCACAGAGAGGTACTTTGTCTTAAGGTCTCCCAGCAAATGCAAAGGTCCAGCCTGAGTTGCTGGGTTCTAGAAAGATTCCTAGGCCTCCATCACCCTTCCCTCAGGTTCTATGTCAACACCCTTGTGGCCGTTGTAGCCCGAGCAGGCTGCGGTGCTCACTGGTAGCTGTAAAGCAGGAAGCCCTCCAGCAGCAGGATGTGGGTGTCCGGGGCGCTGGGCTGCAGGCGGATCCCGTGTGCACGGGCGAACTTCTGGGGGCTGCTGAGCCAGGCCTGCACGGTGCCCACCATGGCCTCCATGTCCAGGGACTCGAGCGCTGCAGTGGGCGGGGACAGCGGGTGTTGGGGACAGCAGGTGTTGGAGGAGGGCCGGCCCGGGGACCATGAGCAGGAGGGCGGCTGCTGTCCTTACCGTCCCACTGTTTGAAGCCATCCTCCCCAACAGCTATTTGGTCTTGGGGCTGAAATAGAGAAGCAGGATCCGGGGTCTCAGCGTCCGCCTCTGCGGCTCCTGAGGACGCTGCCCCGCCGCCAGGAGGCCTTGGAAGTCTCATCTCCCACCCTGTAGACACAGCCATAAGCAGCCAGGTGTGGGGGCCTCCTGCCAGCGCTCTGGAGGCTGAGGCAGGAGGTGCTCGTGTTCAAGCCTTGCCTGGGCAGTTTAGTGGTGTGGTAAGCGCCTGTCCCCAAATAAAGACTGAAAAAAAGACTGGAGCTGGAGCTCAGAGTGAAGGCTATGGGTTCAATTCCTAGTTCTGCAAAACTCATTCAAAGCAGGCTGAGGGCGCAGCTAGCCTGGGCCCGGCTGCCCCACCCCTACCCCTCTAGTCCCTCCAACCCACGACCCTGGCCAGGGCAGCCACCTTGAAGAAGTCGTCCTGGTGGATCACACAGCAGTTGGGCAGGGCCTTGCAGAGGCTGTTGGTCAAGGTGGTCTTGCCGCCATTAGTCACACTGCAGAGAGGGCAGGCATGAGGTGAGGGGGCACCAAGGGAAGGACCAGGGTGGGTGAATAGGAGCCCAGTGGCCCAGGGTTGGCAGGGGAGTATTTGCCACAGAAAAGCTAGGAGTCCCTTCCAACCCTGAATGATGAAATCAACTTCAGAAACGATGTCCAACCTCACTTAGAATCAAAAGACAAAGAAAACAGAACCGAGCAAACCAAACCCTAACAGACAATGTGGGTGATGCACGCCTGTCATCTCAGCAGGCTGGACTGCAAGTTCCAGCCCAGCCTGGGCAGTTTAGCAACTTAGCGAGATCCTGTCTCAAAATAAAAATCAAAAGGATTGAGAGTATAGCTCGGTACTCCCTGGCTTCAATCCCCAGTAAATGAACAACAAGAAAGAAAGAAAAGAAAAGGGCCAATTGATACAGGCATGGTTGGCCTGTCCTAGTTTTCTAGTTTTTTTGTTTTTTTAATGTATTTGGTACAGGGTCTCACTAAGCAGCTCCAACTCATAGTGATCCTCATGTTTTCAGCCTCCACAGTGCTGGGATTACAGGCCTGTGTCACCATGCCCCGTTTTGGTGGCTAGCATGGCGTGGGGATCGACACAGCATGTGGTACCCAGGATCGAACCCAGATCCTTGGGCTTGCTACGCAGGTGCTTAGACCGCCGAGCTATCTCCCTGGCACCAGTTTTCTAGGTCTGACACCTAACATCCTGAAGTCTTAAGGATGGTCCCAGGAGGAAACCAGTGGCCAAGAAAAACGGCTCATCTTGCGTTCTAGGACTGACCAAGGAGCAGAGAAAGGTCACCCTCAGGGCCTTTCTGGAGGGCTGTGAGCCACTGCCTGTTTCCTCGGCTCTAGGCATCTGGGGCACAAGGAAGGCACATGTGGGATAGGGGAACAGGCAACTGCACTTACATAGAGCTGGTAGAAAAAAAACGGACCTCAAAATATTACAGGGAAAAATCAAGTTAAAAGCTGGTGTAGCGATACATGCTTGTAACCTCAGTATAGGAGGCCAAGGCAGGAGGATCGCTGCAAGTCTGAGTCAATCTGCGCCACATAGTGAATTCAAGGCCAGCCTGAACTACATAGTGAGACCATGTTTTTTGTTTTGTTTTGTTTTGTTTTGTTTTTTTGTTTTTATTTTTTTAAAGCAAGTTAGCAAAGTCCTGCTATTAATCCTGGATGTCACAGAGTTTTATCTGTTTAGGCAGAATGGTGTTCTGGTGTTCTGGTGACCCTGCCCTGTGTACCCATGTGTCTGTCTCTAGGTCCTACAAGGCTGGCCCAAGGTCCGATAGGGGCTCTTTGACCTTAATTTATTGCCTTTTTTTTTTTCCCCCTTTCCCTTTTGATGGTCCTGGGGGTTGAACCCAAAGCCTTTGCACTGAGCTACACTCCCATTCTTTTTATAATATTTTATTTTGAGACAGGCTCCCCCTAACTCAGTAAGTTTCTCCGGCTGGGCTCAAACTTGTGACCCTCCTGCCTCAGCCTCCTACAGAGTTGGGATGACAGGCATGGGCCACCTTGGCCAGCTCTGATTTTCGATTTTTGTTCTTTTACTTCTAGTAAAATCAAGGGAGAATGACACCCAGCCTATTGTCCCTTAAGGGGACAGAGGCAGCTCTGACTTCAGGTGCTGAGCGGCCCTAGCTTCCTTCCGGGCCTCCCTGCCCACCCTTATCCCATACGCTCACCCTCCGATGCCCACGACGATCTTCATATTCGCGGAGGGTGGCGCGCTCGGCTGTGACCTGCTGCCAGGCTGCCCCCGCTTCATTGAGAAAACCCAGCACCTTTATATGTACATGGCATCTTGGAGGGCGTCTCGGGGGAGGAGGCCGAGGGCAGACCCAGGAGGAGGGGCCCACTTGTTCCCGGCAGCTGGAAATAGCTCAGGGCCCTTTTCCCTAAATTAGCCCCATGCCCGGGTGGGGGGCTCCTCCCCTTTCCCTCCCTCTTTATCACTCCTCCTCCTCCCCCCTCTTGGCCAGAGAAACCAGATCCTGAGCCATACATTTTTGGTCCCTAAAAATATCAGCCACCGCGTGGTGTGTCCTCAGCCTGACCCTGACATTCAGACTCATGCTGTCATGCTAGAGGAAGGGAAGTCAGGCCTGGCCGGCCCTGCTGGCAATTTCCTTTTCCCGAAGATAGGGCCAGGATGAGTTCAAGGTCTAGAGTGGCAGGAAACCCCAAGATAGCTTTGTTCTAGTAGCCTGGTGCAGCCAAAACATTTAGCAGGACTCTTGGGGTCTGTGGTGCTGCCTGAGTAGCTGGGATCAGCCCTACCGGGGCCTGGGAGCTGCCTAGCCCCATGTTATTAGGAAGGGGGGAAAAAGATGCATATTAAAATGTTCAAAGGGGGGCCAGGGAGATGGCTCAGTGGAATAAGTGCTTCCCTGGCAAGCACAAGGGCCTGAGTTCAATCCCTGGTTCCGAAAAAAAAAAAAAAAATGTTCAAAGGGAGCTGGGCGTGGTGGTGCGTGCCTATCATCCTAGCAGCCTGGGAAGCTGAGGCAGGAGGATTCCAAGTTCCAGCCATTTAGCGACTTAGTGAGAACCTATCTCAAAATATAAAATGAGAAAAGGGCTCGGGATATAGTTCAATGCTGAGGCCCTGGGTTCAATCTCCAGTGTTCCAGCGTGGCAATTAAAAAAAAAAAAAAGCTAAGTGAACTCTGTGTTGGGGATGCACAGGAGGATTCAGTTCAATATCCAGGGTGATCGGATGTTGCCGCTGAGGCCGGAGCTCTGGTCAAACCTCTCGAGAGGATTTTGCTAACGCTGGACTCAGGAAAACGGGATGGATGGGGCGTGTGTTGTCCCTGCAGGTCCGCCTTTAGGCACCTTGAAGTTCACTCCATTAAGTTCACTCCCATGGCTTCGAGAGTGGGAGCTGCACCCTAGATGGTGAGAAATGAGATGACACACTGCTGCAGTTTGGGGGACTCTGGAACAGCCCCTGCCCGAGTCTCCAAAGAGCGGTCTGCAACTGGTTACTATTGGAAAGTGGTGGGACCTTTAAGAGGCGGGGCTAGCGGGGGAAGTGAGGTCCTAGGGGCGTGGCTTCGAGGAGCCACTCCTCCTCCCCTCCTGTCTCTCCCCTGCTGGTGCGAGAGCTCGAGAGCTCGGAGCGCTCAGGGCGCTGTCGCCGGCTAGAACAGACCGTGAGCCAGAATAAACCTTCTTTGAGCTGATCTACTATTTGTTGCATGAGCGGCACATTGACTAAGTCACATCTCAGTCTCTCACCTTTTTTTGTTTTTTTTAGTACTGGGAATTAAACCCAGCGCCTTCACACGGAGCTACAGCCCCAGCCCCTCTCATACCTTGTTTCAAAACAACGTCTTGCTAAATTGCTAAATCAGCCAGGCTGGACTGGAATTTGCTGTCCTCCTGAGTAGCTGGGATTATAGGTATGTGCCGCAATATCCAGCTTCTTTTATTCTGAAAAAGGATTTAGGAGTTGAAGTACCTTTTTTTGCATCTTTGCTGTGATGCGGCTGCATCACACATTAAACATAAAGAAAAAGCTCAAGCATTTATTGACATTGTTTATTTATTTTTGTACTAGAACTCGAACTCAGGACCTTGTGCCCACCAGGTAGGCCCTGTGCTGCTGAGCTATATCCCTCGCCCTTAACATTTAAAAATCATAAAAAATGTTTAAAAATTCAAGGTCTACATGTTAACTTGATTATGATCATTAAATGAACATGTTTTATAAGACATTTTAAAGCTGTTTAATAGAATAATAGTTACTGTAATAATAAATATTCATATTTTACATAATGGTTTTATTTTTTTGAGATTCGGTCTTGCCATGAAGTCCAGACTGGCCTTGAACTCATGGCAATCCTCCTGCCTCAGCCTCCTCAGTTTATGATTTAAATAAGTCTATTTCTCTTCCTTCTTTCCTTCCTTCCTTCATAACATGGTAGGCAAATACTTTACCACTGAACCTCAATCCCTGATTTTTTAAAAAATGTATTTTAATACAAGGTCTACAGTCTACAAGGTCTCACTACGCAGATCAGACTCATAGTGATCCTCCTGTTTTCAGCCTCCCAAGCGCTGGGATTACAGGCATTCACTACTGTTGTATGTTACCGGTCGGTGCCGAAAGAAATGCCGAGAAGACCTGATGAATGTAGCTTCAGAGGTCTCACTGAGATTAGTCTCTCCAAGTGAGCCCAGAGCCTCAGAAGCATCTCACATTTATTCAGGAGTAAAGGCAGACTAAGGAATGTGCATAATTACCTATGTGAATACAAACTACTATCTCTATTGACTTCCACCATTTGCCTAACACTAGGTTCACACAAATGCTAGCCGATAACATCCCAAGCAAGGGATCAAAGGACAGGGCTCCTGCAGGAGAAGCTGTTATCTGCTGCCTTGGGTCCCAGCTTGCTGGGAATTTGCAAACAGACAGCAACCCTCCTCAGGCTCAGTCCAGTGTTCCCTGCTCTCTTGGGACATCAGGCTTTTGTCTCAGAACTATATCTCTACACGCTACCATGCCCAGTCTTAGTCACTATCTCAGCAAGCCCCTGGGGTGGGCTGGCATGGCAAGCCAGGGATTGAACCCTGGTCCCTGAGTCTGCTGAGCTATCTTGCTGGCCCTCAGACTTCTTCTTCTTCCCCCTCCCCTCCCCCTCCCCCTCCCCTCCCCCACTATGCTTGGCTGAATAATAATAATAATATAAGTCAGGTATTTATTTATTTGTACTGCGAATTGAACTCAGGACCTTGTGCTTGCCAGGCAGGCTGGGCTTGAACTTGTAGTCCTGCTTCCTCAGCCCCCCAGAGTCATGGGATGGCAGGTGTGCACCATCACGCCCAGCTTGAGAATGTCATAGATGTAGGTTGAGTGGAATGGAGGGAAGGGAGCAGCCGATGGGGAGGAGGAATATTCATGGTGCCTCTTGGGAAGGATAAAGATTTTCTAAGAATTCAGGCTGTGTCTCTTTTTGCCATTTTTCTTCCCGTTTCTGCTTGTTGTCATAGCAGCCGTCGACTGTCATGAAGCTCGAGCAGGAATCCTCTAGGGACAGCGTGCAGGGCCAGACTGCAAGACAGCCCTACGCTGGCAGGTCTGTGAGAATGACGCTAGAGTGGACTCAGCAGAGGTGACCCTTCTTCCCTTGGTGACAGCGTGTCCGCCATGGCCTCGCCGGGCTGAGTCCAGGCCCAGGCAGGCAGCAAGCTGCCTCCCCTCCAGGCCCTGGAGAACCCGTGTCCTGTCCTGACGCTCTTGGTGTGTGGTCCCTTCCTCCATTTGCAGAGCCAGGCACACAGCATCTTTTTGACCCTTCCACTATGGTCACATCTCTTTTTTATTACGACTGGAAATGGTTCTCTGCTTTTTAAAATTTAAGAGAAATAAAAGGGCCAGGGAGACAGCTCAGCTGCATAAGCGTCTGACTTGCGCAAGGTCCCAAGTTTGATCCCTGGTACTGCCAAAAAAAAAAAGACATAAAAGTCACATATTCTACAATTTGGTTGTGCATGTTCTCGTGTGTGTGTGTGTGTGTGTGTGTGTGTGTGTGTGTGTGTGTATGGAACCTAGAGCATTTGCACTAAGCCCCATCCCCAACCCTTCTTTTACTTTTTATTTCAAGATGGGATCTCTGAGAGTCACTAAATTGCCCCGGCTGGGCTCACACTTAAGATCTGCCTGCCTCAGCCTCCCGGGGAGTGGGGAATCACAGGCATGCTTGTATAATGTTCTGAGGCGCTGCCTGGCTGGTCCTCGCAGCTGCCGCCTGCTGTCGCACTCCTGCAGTGAACCAGAGCAGCTCCTCTCTCTCTGTATTGCGTTCTCCCCAGTTACTGGTGTTTTCTTGTTTCTTTTTGTCCCTTTTTGTGGTGCTGGGGCACATGTCATTCTCTGTGCTTCCAGGAAGCCAGGACAGAGGGTGTTGCCTATGCGGCCCAGGGACAGCCTGTGGTGACACCGGACCTGCCCTCCCGGCTGCCCTTGTGGGAAGTGGAGCTAACCTGCGGGCCACCAGGAGACTCAGGACCATCCTACTGTCCTGCATATCCCAGGAGGATTCCTGCTGTCTGGCACCTTGATGGCTGACAGTTGCCAGGACAACAGGAAGAAACCAGAAAACATTAAAAGAAAGCAACGCCTGAATTTTAGAAAATTTCCACAGGCCTAGCTTTTTTTTTTTTTTAAGACAGGGTCTCACAAAGTTACCCAGACTGGTTTGGAACTTCTCATCCTCCTGCTTCAGCCTCGCAGGGTGCTGGGATTATAGGTATCTGCCACTCAGAACTTCTGGATATATTGTTTTGTGTTTTGTTTTGTTTTGTTTGTTTGTTTGTTTTCAGAGACAGGCTCTCACTTTGTATATCAGGCTAGCCTGAAACTCACAGCAACCCTCCTGCCTCAGCTTTCTGAGTGCTGGGATTACAGGCGTGCATCACCTTACCCGGCTCATTTCTGTTTTGCCACCCTAGTGGTGCATGGGTAATCCCAGCTCTCAGGAGGCAGGAGGGTCTCTGTGAGTTCAAGCCAGCCTGAGCCATATAGTGAGACCCTGTCTCAAAAAGAAAAAAGGAAAGAAAAAAATTCTCTCTCTCTCTCTCTTTTTTTTTTTTGAGACAGGATTCGATATATAGCTTATGTTGGCCTTGAACGCACAGTTATCTTCCTGCCACAGCGTCCTGGCTGCTGGGATTACAGAAATGCACCACCATGCTGGGCTAGGACTTCTTCTAAGGACTTTTACTAAGAATAAAAATATTGGTGCTACCTGACTGGTTTAGTCCTACAATCTCAAGAGGGAAAGGATCAAAGCTGGTAACACGCCAACGTCTAGGACTAGAAGAGAATCAATTCTTTGTGTTTGTTTGTTTATTTTTGCAGAACCGGGGATTGAACTCAGGCCCTTGTGCTTGCCAGGGAAGCACTTACTCCACTGAGCCATCTCCCTGGGCCCAAGAGAATCAATTCTTATGAAGCCTCAGACATAATTTTTGATCAAAGAGACAGTGGTATTTGTTCATATTTTAATTTCTTTGGTAGTGCTAGGATGGAACTGGGGCTTCTTCCAGGCTAACACGGGGGCATAAAGAGCCCCACCATCACCCCATTTCTGCAGATTTCCTGAATGTCTGGCTTGGTAGAACACAGCTGGATTCTCTTTTTCCCTCCCTCCCTTTTTCCCACAGTCCTGCGGATTGAACCCTGGGCCTTCACCTTAAGCTCCATCTGCAGCCTCTTTTCTATACATTTTGTAACAAGGTCTTGCTAAGTCACTAGATTGCCAGGCTTGACTCCAACTTGTGACCCTCCTGTCTCAGCCTTCTGAGTGCTAAGAATCCTGCCTGCACCACACTTGGTCAGCCTGTTTCTAGAGGTGGTTTTTCTTGATAGTGGGTAGGAAATCCTGCTACTCAGAGAGAGGGAGAAAGGCAAAAGGAGGCTTGGGGTTGTCTTTTCTGAGACTAATCGGTGTTCCTCCTGCCCACACTCTGGACACCTCCAGGGTTATGAACTGTTCTCCTGCCTCCTGCACTCTATTAAAATGTGTTGATCCTGCCCTTTGGGAAAATTTTTGCATGTGATTTTGACATTGGGGACCCTCTGAAAGGATTCCGGGGTCCTGACCCCTGGGGAAGCCCCTGGTTCAGAGCGCTGGCCGTGGCTGGGTGCTGTGGCTCCCTGAATGAAAACCACGAACACTGGAGCCAGCACCCGAGCCTGATGCCCAGAGAGGCAGGAAGGACTCCTGGAGCCTCTGGCACCCTGCAGAGACTTGGATTTTGGAATTCTGGCTCATTCTGTGATTTGAAGCCCCAGGGTGGCACCACTTGTCACTCATGAGAATAAAATCCTGCCGGCTCCCCACATCCAGGGGCCTATCTCTGCTCACCAGGGTGCCTGTGTGACTCTCCAAGCCTTCTAATCACTCCTACTGCTGCGTCCTCCTTGCCCAGGTGGTCAGTGAGAGAGAGAGCATTTTGAAAGCCTAGGTCAGGCATGGGCCGCTCTCTGAATCCTCCAGGTCCCTTCCCCATTTGCATTAAATGAAACCCAATGCTTCCATCTGTCTCCTACCTTGGAGGCCCCCCTGAATCCCATAACCCCTCCCCCAGTACTCTGTGGTAAAGATGGCTGCAGTTGCTCCTTAATTGCTTCAGATCTTCTCATTGGAGGAGACAGAAAGTTTTTCATTGTATGGATTCGAGACAGTGCTCAGTGTGCCTGGCATGGCTGAGCGGCCCATGTGGGATAATCACAGTAGAAACACTCACCAGTGTGGTCCCCCTTGGCTGGCCGGCCTTTTCCTCCTACTCTGGCTGGACTTCTGCCCTGGATCTTTCTGGGCCTCAGTTTCCCCATTTGGCAGCTGGGCAGGATGACTGAAGCTGTGATCTAAGAGTCTTACAGATGCAGGAAAGCCCAGCTTCTGGGCTTTGCCTCTGGCCCAGTTCTCTCGGGACTTCAGCGACAGTGGCGTCTGCACAGGTAAGGCCCAGAGGCTCTGGATCCGTCTTAGGCTGGGGCAGAGACCTGAGCACCCAACACCCTAGCATTAAACAGTGACTGTTTTGTCTTGTCACATAGCGTGGGCTCCGCAGACCGAAAATGCTCAGCACAGGCAAATCCAGAGAGCACTTGTGGGTGCTGGTGCTGGGAGAAGACGGGGCACCCGCGCATGGGGCTGGATGGGGCTTCCTTTGGGGAGATGGAATGTTCTGGAACTCTAATTAGAGTTCAGGTGGTGGCTGCCAGACACTGTGAGTATATGAACTGTATCTAATGGCAAATTTTACGTTTTGTGTATTTCATCACAATAAAAAAAGAGATGACACTAAAATAGTGATTATCTAGATTCCTGAGCTGATTGGTGGACCCTTTACCTTTTGGTTCTGAAGAAAGTCACCCACGGAAGTGCGCGCCCAGCTGTGCGTGGCTGGAGAGTGCCCGTCATACCAGCTGCTGGGGAGGCTGAGGCAGGAAGACCCCAAGTTGGAGCCCAGCCTGGGCAACCTAGTAACTTAGTGAGAACTTACCTCAAATTAAGACATAAAGAGCTAAAGACGCAGTTCCACACCCAGGACTGGAAAAGAAAAGAGGACCAGATCTTCCTTCTCACTTATGATTTATTCACCTCCCATAAAGCCCACCAGACCCCCTGGAGAGGGCACCTCCCCGTCAGGACAGCCACCATCATGATCATTTCTGTGTTTAATTAAAAACTGAAGAACTGGCCCGGAAGGGTAGGTATGCAGGGTGCCACTCTGGGGAAGGCTGAAGGCCACACCCCACAGGTCCCAAGAGGAAACCACCATCCCTTTACAATGTCGGCTTGGGGTCCTCCGCCTTTTGCCCCCAAATATCCCTAGATGCAAATCTATGACAATGGCGATTTTTGGATGGTGACGCAGCAGTCACCTCGGAGCGATGGCCCTTGCACAAACCCACGTAGACCGCTCAGGCCTATGCTGCCCACTGCACTCTCTACTGTCTGCGGCTGCTGGTGGTCCAGAAGGCCCTGCCTGGCCTGTCCCTCGCCATGGGATACAGGTGGTCCCACGAAGTTTCCTGGGGGGCAGAAGTTTCAGTTCTTGGTCCAAAAAAGGTCCATGGGGCACAGTGTGCCTGGGGCCGCCCAAGGACAAGCCATGGTGGCCGCAGCTGGTGTCTGGCGGACAACCCCCTCCTCCTGCCTGTCATGGGCAGGTTATGGTCACCGTGTGTTGCCACTGATGGAGGCCACTCACATCTGACAGGCGATGGTCACCATCATGAGTGACAGAGGGGCTCTGGGTGACATGAAGGAGGGACAGGTGTAGAGATGCGGGGCCTCTGGGGCAGCCTCAGCCTCTGGAACCCAAGACACCCTCTCTGCCTTTGTCCTTTAACATTTGGGAAACACACACTACACATTACAAAGCTGCCCCCAGACTGCCCAAGTGTTTGGCCTCTTCAGGCCACACGGGGACCCATGGTGCTCCTGGCACTGCCTGGTGGCCGTCATGGGATTCCCAGTCCCAGCCGCTCAGTGTCCTTGCTCTTCTCCGGGCGGGAGCCCCAGACTTGTGCAGCAGGACATGGAGACCCCCATTCTGCATTCTTGCAACTGGGCACTGACTGCTACCAGCTGTTGCCCACAGCTGGGGAAACCCAAGACTTGTCCCTTTGTGTCCCAAGTCCTGAGCATCGGCTAATGCTCACAGAGCTCAGCTACAGGCAGCAAGCTGGGGGCCTGGAGAGCATGCCACGCAGGTTTTGATCAAAACAGAGACACCGGCCTGAAGGAGCCTGCAAACACCACCTGGCCTTTTCTTAAATGCCCCTGCAGATGGCGAGCTCACTGCTTGTAGAGGCCCGTGACGGCCTCGGGCCCCATAGCAACAGCCTGTCTTTTTCTTTTTGAGCTTTTGAGACAAGTCTCACTATGTAGTTCAAGCTGACTTCCAACTCACTCTATAGGCCAGACTGGTCTCAAGCTCGCAGCAATCCTCCTGCCTCAGCCTCCCGAGTGCTGGGAGGACAGAGGTTCCAGTCTGAAGTGCAGAGGCCCACTGCATCCGGCCCGTTGGGATTTATTTTCCAAAGTGATCTGAGACACTCCTGCCTGCAGCATCCTGTGTCCTCCTCAGGCAGTGTCTACCTTCCCAGGACGACCCTATTTCAGAAACAGCTTCTTTGGCCTGTGCTCTGGGTGCACCCTGACCTGGCACTGGGGCTGTGGCAGGTGTCACTCAGGCTGGCCCTGGGCTGTGGCATTCAAGGGAAAGGGGCTCAGGAGTGTTCAAGGAGGAGGCCAGGGCATTGGCTGATCACTCTTATTTATACCACTGGCTAGATGAAAGTAGGTGTCCTTAAAGGTGACAGGGACGGTCAGGTCACAGACCAGGGGTGTGAATTTGGGACACAAGGTAGAGGCTGTGTCCCAAGACACAGTCCTGCTTGGGACCAAGTTCCCAGGGCTGAGGGCCAGGCGGGGGACACATTCCGGGAGGGAAGGCACGGGGAGGAGCCCGGACCGGCTGTGCTAGAGGGCGCCTGTAGCTCCGGACAGACGGGTGATTGCAACAGAGGGCTTGGGAGCCTTGTGTCCCGAGCTGTCCTGCAGCCGCGGCTGGGGACAGCAGCAAGGTCACCAGGGCCTCACAGGCCTACGTGGGTCCCCTCCTTGGTTGTGATCTCACCAGTGAGGACACAGGGAGGGTCAAGAACCGGGTCCTTTTCCAGAGCATGCTAAAACCACATTGTTTCAAAAAGTTTCTGAGCCACTAAAAAGGACACTGGATGTCAGAGGTGGATGGAGGAGACCGATCCTCTGGGACAATCAGGACTCAGGATGAGGTGAGATGAGTGCTGGGGCCAGAGGGCATCTGACGGAGGTTTCTTGGCATCTGGAATCTTCTTTCGAGCCCTTCTCTTGGATCTGGCCACCTCAGGACATGCTGGAGGGGAGAGACACAGGCAGAGAGGGGACTGGGACTTTCTTAACAAGAGGAAATGCTCTTCCACATACGTGGCATCCAGAGAATTAGGGCCACAAACGGGCACACGCTCTCAATAGCAGAAGCGGGGCCTGCTTTTCGAGGCTGGACACCTGTCACCTGCCTACCCAGGGGGACACTCATGGTAACTCCCTCTTGGGGCCCAGCAGAACAGGCCCTGGGGGCTCCTGTCCTCAGCTTGGAGGGAATCTTCAAACCAGCCAGCCAGCCATCCACCCACTGAACCACCTACCCTTCCATCCACCCACCCACCCACCCACCCATCCACTCATTCATCCCCCTCAAATTCTTCCTTTTGCCTCTTTAATCTCCTGAAGCGCAGTTTCATCCTCCCCCCACCCACAGGGGCCCCAACTGAGGCTCTCATTCTGCCAACTTTCGCCCAGGGTGCAGCTGCCTGTGCTTGGGCTCATGGGCTCATCTGCAGGGTGTGGGCTCACTGGTCCTTTCCCAAATGGGCCGGGGAGATGGCTCAGTAGAATAAGCACTTCCCCAGCAAGCACAGGGGCCTGAGTTCAATCCCTGGTTCCACAAAAACAAACAAACAAACAAACAAAAACAAAAACAGAACTACTTAGGAACTGGCTTCTTCTCAGTGTGCCAGGGAAGGGACGGGACCAGTTTTATACCATTCTTGATGTTTATTTCTCAGCATGGGGCTTCCTGGGCCTCGTGGGGCTGTCAGGCACCAGGCCAGGCAGTGACAGATGTGCAGAATAGCATGTGGCCAAGGATTAGCTTGTGCCTTCTAAGGTAAGGCTTGGCCTCGGTCGGGCTCCCGGAAATAATTACTATAGCCTTGGGATATCCTGTTGGATAAAACTTTACGTGGGGACTGTGGCTCACACCAGACGGTGTAAGACACGAGAGCAAAATATATGGTGGCTTTAAATTTAAAAACAAAACATTTATTACAGCCCATGAACATGTCACCACAGATCTCCCTCAAAATCTACACTCTTACTTTTTTAAAAATTGTTTGTTTTTTGCAGTACTGGGGATTGAACTCAGGACCTTGCACTTGCCAAGCATTCTACTGAGCTATCGCCCCAGCCTGCACTCTTCCTTTGAACACTTATCCCACAGTTCTGGCCACTTTCTGCAGCAGTTCTGGAGCCCGCTTTCCTCAGTGTCTTTATGAGATATGATCAAAAATCCAATGAAAGCTGCTGCCAAGGGCCATCTGACAGAAAGGAGCTCGTAAATGCATGACGGAGTCCTCGCTCACCCTAGTCACCAGATCTGGCACCACGCAACTTTGGTTCTGCTCCAAAGTCCAGAAGTCCGTGGAAGGGAAATGTTTTCAGAGGACTCAAGACATCGAGGCAGCAGGACAGTGTAACCCAAGAAAACTCAGGTTTCCAGAGCTGCTTCAGAAAGTGGTGGGAACGATGGGATAAGCATGCCTGCAGGGGGTGCTGAGGAGGATTCATGGCAGTGTCTTACTGCAATACATTTCTGGAAATTTAAATATTCACTGTATTTTTCAGTCACATTGTATGCTGACGAAGTGATTTACCATGGAACTTGGGTCCAAGGTATCTTCAGGGGCCCTGTCTATGCAACAGCACCCCCTGGAGTTGTGCAGGACAAGCTGATGGGTTGTGATAACCACTGCTCCCCTGGTACATTGTCTCCCACGCCCAGGAAGCCATGAGACAGTTATCCAGGGATAGGACCCATTGCATCATTTCTTTTTTTTTTTTGGCGGAACCGGGGATTGAACTCAGGCCCCTGCACTTGCCAGAGAAGCACTTATTCCACTGAGCCATCTCCCCGGCCCCTCACTGCATCATTTCTGAAAGGCCCTTGCATCACACATACCTTGTTTCCTGGTCCTCTGTGGCAGGAGCAGACCTGTGAGAGAGGGAAGACCACTCAGATTTACTTGCCCATTTTGAAGGAAGGGGACATTTTCCACCTGTTAGCGGAGGCTGTTGAGCCCCACGAGGGCTGATACCACTTTGTCCTGGTCTGGTATGAAGCGGGTGTCAGTGAGCATCAGCTGCGTAACAAATAAGCCAGGATGGACAGTTGTGAGAAAGCCAACCAAGGCCCTTTACTGCCAGATGCAAAATGAAACCACTAAGTTGCTCAGTCTGCGGAGCATGGAAAGGCTGAGTCTGCACACTGGGGTTTGGATAAAGATCCCTTTCCAGAACCTTCCTCTGCATCTGAGAGCAGAATGTGTTCTCCTACGCAAGCTGGATGCACAGAGAAGGAAGACAGAACTTCAGGGGATCCTGAGGACAGAAGCGGCTAAAGGACAGCATGTCCTTTTGGGATGGCAGAATGTTCTAGAAGTAGATGGTGGTGTTGATTATACAGTATTATGAATGTACCAAATGCTCCCTGTACTGTCCACTTTTGCTTTTATCTTTTTGAGCAGGGTCCAACTATGTAGCCCAGCCTGACCTCAAACTCACAGCAATCCTCCCGCCTTAGCCTCCTGAGTGCTTGGATTACAGGTGTGTGCCATTCAGGTTATTTTCTCCTCCTCAACCAGGTCCTATCTTCTTCCCCTTAGGACATGGCAGCTCCTGGTGGCTGTCACCTTCTAACCTATGGTCACCTGCGTGCTTACCTGTCTTCCTCTAGCGCTGCCTCCGGCTTTTCTTCAGACCTGGGCAGGACAAACTCTGGCTGGGGCCTGGAGCTGTGGACAAAGCCAGGTGACAGGAGGTGGCCTGCCGTCCTGGGCTGGGGCCTCTGGGCTGCCACTAGCCTCTCTGGTCGCTTGGCCAGAGGCCTAAGAACTGTTTGGAGAGGTTTTGTTTTTTTTGGCGGGGGGGTGTTGCTGTTGTTATACTGGGGCAAGGAAGCCAGGCGTATTCAACACCTAGCTATACCCGGCCATTTTTATTCTATTCTGAGACAGGGCTATGGAGGACCATCTGGACGACTTTCCTTGAAAAAAGAGCAATCATTTCCATTTGGCTAAACCTGGCCCCGTTTCCACACACCGCTGTGTGCAGAGCTGATGAGGGCTTGCCCTTATCCCTTCCGTTGGCTTTAAGCAATGCAAACTGGTCCAGATATGGAGTCTGCGAAGCAAGGCGACAGGGCAGTGTTTCCTCACCCGCAAAGCTTGGCCCAAAAATGCATGGGCTGGGCCAGACTGAGAGCAGTGCCTCTATGCTGTCCCCTGGGATTGAGCCTTGAGGTAAGAGGCTATGACTTCCCAGGGCATAAAAGATTATGCCTCCGAGCTGAAGCATGGACCCCAAAACATTAGATGCCCCTTCAGTTGTGTCTTGCGGGTTACTCTCCCTGAAGATCCTTCTCTCCGCATACTGCAGAGGAGCCCTGGGCCCCCTACCCAGCCAGCGCACAGCGCTCCCCATTTCCCGCATTCTCACGCTCATCCTCAGAGCCACTCCTTTCTTCACAAATCAATAGAACTCGGGTTTGGCCTTTGTTCCAGCTAGCCATCATCGTGGCTGGGCTTAGGACCCTTTGGTCCCCACAACTACACGTATGCCTGTGTCTTTATTCTCCCTGTGGGTTCTGCTGGAAGTGATAGCTCAGAATTAATTCACTAGAATTCCAGTAACTTCTCCACAGGCTTACAAATTTAAACTTCCCAGACCATGATGAGGACTGGGAAGGGCTCTCTCTATGGGTCTTGTTAAACTGCCCAGGTTGGGCTCAAACTTGTAATCCTCCTGTCTCAGCCTCCTTTGAGCTGGGATTACAGGCCACCATGCCCTGTGGTAAGAGCTTGTTTTTATGAATAGTTTTCTTGGTACACAGTTGTGCCAGTTCACTTCCAGCTACATCAGGGGGCCATCAGACAGCCATGAGCCACCTGTGGGACGTCACTGGTCCCTGCTGAGCAGAGACACTGGGGACCCCTGTGTCCCCAGGACAGCCCGGCTCAGCCCCCAAGTAGCTGTTCCCAGAGCCCAGCGTGCACTGACCTCTCTCTCCTGGCTCGGATTCTTTCTTCTTCATACCTGAAAGAGAGGAGAAGGTGTCAGACTCCGCCCACCACCTCCTGCGGCAGGCGCACTTCCTGGGGACCTTCCTTCCCTTCGGAGCAGAGAGCGATGTCAGCTCACACAGCAGCCTGTGGAGCAAGGAGAAAAGCTCGCCGCGGCTTGGACAGCTGGGCTTGCTCCCCTGGGCAGGGAAGTTCTGGCTTCTTGGCATGGCACAACATCCATGCAGAGAAGGAGTGGACAGCTGCCCTGCCACGCATTTGTCCCCAGGGCCACAGCACTGTGCCTGGAGAGGGCTGAGATGGTCAGCGTGTTTGATTTTTTTTTTTGTTGTTTTTTTTTTGAGACAGGATCTCGCTGTGGAATCCAGGCTGGCCCAGGGCTCAAAGCGATCCTCTTGCCTCAGCCTCCTGAGCACCAGAGGACTTGTGTACACCACCAGGCCCAGCTCTGAAATGGTCGATTTTATGTTCTGCAGGAAACAGTGGAGAGGGTTTCAGGATGTTCTTCAGGATAAGAAAGCGCCAGAGATAGCTCCTGTCTCACCCCTAGCCCGGGGAAGAACCCCTCGGAGGGTGAGCTCCCAGAGCCTCACTGTTGGCCTCGGTGGGGGCAGGGGGCCCGGGGGCATCAGGGCAGGGACTGCCCGGCCACTCACTGCAGGACACAATCTGGAATCTGCACGTGCTCCATGGGGATGAGCTGCTCCAGTTCCTCCAGGCTGTGCACATACTGGATCTTACTGATGAACTTGACGCTGGTGGGAGAGAGGTGTGAGGGCAGCCGCCACGCAGCCTCAACCACACCCAGAGGGCCACGGAACCCCAGACGCTAGCACCTGAGCCCCAGCCTCCCGTCCTACCCTGGGAATGAGGACTACAATCCTTCTTGCTTGGGGCAACAGAGTGACAGTCCTGAGTTATTTTTGTTGTTTGTTTTTGGGTTGTTGGGGACAGAACTCAGGGACCCTCCACATTGCTAGGCAAACACTATACCCTTGAGCAACACCCACAGGGCACTGAACCTAAAGGTGGCCTTGGGGACACCTAGCTCCCACATGCATTGGGTCCTTGCACTACTGAGCCCTGGAGGTGGATGGGGCCCCTCACAGGTGACGCCTCTGGGGGACATAATGGCCCCAGCACAGCATCTGCAGCTGGTGGAGCCTGGCTCACCTCTGAGGGAGGGTGGAGGCCGGGACCTTGCTGGGTGACCTGGGGGTCGCCTCTGCGCTGCATTCACTCATGTGTAGATGAGCGTGTGAGCAAGGGCATTGACCTCCCAGGGCAGTAGATGTAAATATTAAAAAGGGCCAGCATTCAAAGGTTGGGGGCTACGGTGTGCACCTATTGTCCCAGCTGCTCGGGGGGCTGAGGCAGGAGGAATAATTGAGCACAGCCTGGCGACACAGTGGGACCCCCTCCCCCAAGGCATTCAGTAGGTGAGAGCCAGTTTCGGCCCCCCTCCCCGTACTGGGATCGAACCCAGGGCCTCTGCCCTGAGCCGCCCCTAAGCCTTTTCTATTTGGAGCCAGGGTCTCACTGAGTTGCTGAGACTGGGCTCAAGCTCGCAGTCCTGCCTCAGCTTTCAGAGTTGCTGAGATGACAGACATGCACTACTGCACCTGGTTTTTCTGGGCTTATGTCTTTAGCACATTGAATTTTGCCTGGAGTTCAGCCCTTGGGGTCAGACTTGGTATTCCCTGTGGCATCTTTATGTCGGCCCTCTGAGACTTGCAGTTGGGGAGCATTTTTCATTGTGCATTTCCAGATTGGTGGCACTCAATACATGGATAATATTTAAGACGGCTTAAGGCAGTAATGCCTCTGTATGCCACAGAAGCTGCCAGTGCACCAAAACACATCCAGGTCCACACCATGGCCTGCACTGGCCCAGGCTCCTTGGCTCCTAGGCTCACCTGATGAAGGGCCGGGAGATGGCCAGCACGGTCCGGATGAACCAGGAGGGGTGAACGATGATCAAGGACTTCAGATTTTTCCGCAATCTGTGTGGGGCACAGAGGGAGCCAGATGTCTCCTAGGGCCGGCCTCGGGGAGGATGAGGCCAGGAGGGGCAGGAGCAGGAATGGAGGGCCACACGCCACCATTCGTCACTCATGCCAGCATCTCCAGCCCTGTTAGGCATTTTGTGAATTCTCACTAGGTTGCTAAGTTTCTCAGGCTGGGCTTAAACTTGCGATTCTCCTGCCTCAGCCTCTCAGAGTGCTGGTCAAATCTCTACCCTGCTGCAGGAGTTCTAAGGCCCATAAAGGGTGAAGATACAGCCATTCTGTCCCTACGAGCCCATAGCAGGTAGGGAGGGAAGGACCCTTGCAGCAGAGCGAGTGGACCAGGTAGTCAGGATTTAGAGCAGCTGACACTATAATGTTGCTATCTAGGGACAGAAAAGGGGCCGAAATGGTCTTCAAGCCTCTCCTGACCTAAGTGCACAGATGTGCTGGCTCAGCCAACTTTAAAATTATTCTGTGAACCAGAACTTGAAACAAATGGACTTCGTGGACATATACAGAGTGTTCCACCCAAACACAGCTGAATACACACTTTTTTCAGCTGCACATGGGTCATTTTCTAAAATAGACCACATACTGGTCCATAGGTAATGCTTAAGTATATGTAAGAAAACAGAAATTATCCCATGCACATTATCTGACCACAGTGCAATGAAACTGGAAATAAATGACAAAAGAAACCAGAAAAAACCC